TAAGAGCGGGCCTTGGGCGCAATGTGTTTCTCTGTTGGCTAATACAGCCCACACACTGGAGCCTTTCGCATGGGAGAGAAATGGAGCACTTTACACAGGGATTGTTATTTCAGTTTCATTTAAACTCCATGTGATACAGTAGCAATTTCTCACCACTTGAGTGTCACTTAGATAATAGCATTATATCTGCAGATTTGGGGTGCTCAGCTGCCAGGCGATGGAGTGAAAAACGGACAGAAATAGACGGAGCTAAAGGAGTGAAGGTCTGCTGTGGTGCGCTTGTGCACACCAGTGAATTCTCACCCACTCGTTTTTTACATTTAAAAAGTGTTCCTACAGTGCGAAGCCTAGGCTATTGATTTAAGAGTATAAATGTTTGATAATTCAGATAAATATTCTACAACTCCAATAGGAAGCAGCGCTGATGAGGAAATCGGCCGCTCTTTTAGATAAACATTGAATGTAATGGATGAGGTGAGTGAACGTGAAAGGAGAGGTTTTCTACGGTTTGTTTGAACCAAAGAAATAGAGCAGAATTTGTGTTGACTCACCACAGGTGAAACATCCATGTGGGGGTTTAAAAAGTTGAAGTAAATAAACAGAATCAAATGGACTTGGCCCTGCGGGTCATAAATAAGTGATTTTAAAACTTTTTGGTTGTTCTGTTTTTTTCTGTTTATGTTGAACTTTCGGCTTGAACTAGGAGCTGGAAATAAATGTATATTGTTATGTTAAGGCATGTTTCCATCCATATATGGTGGAAATTTTGAGAAAAAGCATTCCCTATGATGTCCAGGAACCACTGCAACACAGTGGGAATGAGGCAAGAAGGTCCTGGGTTTGAATCCACTGGCCGGCTGTTGGCTCTCCTTGTTGAGTTTGTGGATTTTCCCTCTGCCTGCATTGGTTCTCTCCAGGCACTCCCAGAGCTTCCTCCTACAGTCCAAAGTAATGCTATTAGGTACACTGGTGATCCTAAATTGGCAATAAATGTGACTGTGAGAAGGTTGTCTGCCTCTCTGTGATAACCCTTTGATAGACTGGTGACCTGTCTTGGATGTAGAAGTGAAAGATTTTGGAAAGGGTTATATATAGGGTATTTCTAAGGTTTGGGGACTGCAGCTAGAAAATGGAAAATGGAGAAGCTGGAGTGGCTGGCCTACCAAAATGATTCACAGAGCGCAATGACAACTCATACAGGGGGAAACAAAAGAACTAAGAACAACATCGAAGGAACCGCAGGCCTCACTTGTTTCAGTTATGGTCAGAGATCGTGATACAACAATAAGAACTATAATAACATAAGAGGCTGGACAAAAATTGCAATCATAGGAGCGTTCCAAGGAGAAAACAACTGCTGACCAAAAAAAACACAAAGACTCGTCATCTTGATGATCCCCGATACTTTTGGGAAAATATTCTTTGGACTGATAAGACAAAAGTTTAACTTTGGAAGGTTTGAGTCTTGTTACATTTGGCACAAAACTAACACAGCAACAGTCAACAAGTGTTAGCGTGATGGTCTGAACATCAGTTCATGCCCTAAAGCTAAATCACATTTCGGATATGCAGCAAAGCAATGATCCGAAATACAGCAGCAGGTCCAACTCTGAAAGCTAAAAAGCAAAAACCAAATGAAAGTTTTGGAGGTTTGGTTTTGACCAAGTCAAATGTCCAAAATAAAATCTGATTGAAATGCTTTGGCAAGGCCTTGAACACACTGTTCACGCTCAAAAACCTTCCAGTCTGCCTTAATTAAATCAGTTCTGCAAAAAAAAAAAGAGTTAAAATTCCAACAATGTCAAAGACTTATTGAAAGTTATCCCAAGAGCTTGTTCGTGCTGCCAACAGGGGTAGATTTGAATAGCTTTTTCCCCTTAATACGAAGGAAGAGGCCTCAAGGCAGACACAGGACATGCTGGAGAAATTATATCTCTCGGCTGGCCTGGGAACACCTTGGTGTTCCCCCAGACAAGCTGGAGGAAGAAGATGGATGGATGGATGGAATCATCATTTGAAAACTGCATTATGTATGTTCTCAGGTTGCTCTTTCTCTAAGGTTAAAATCTGGAATATGTAACTGTGACAAACATGCAAAAAAAAAACTCAGCAAGGCAGTTTAACGTGAAAGTAAAGCACTATCCTGCAAAACCCGACCTTTTTAATAGCACCAAGCTGGCAAATAGCTCGCTTCCAAGTTTTCCAGACGACTATATATTTTTTAAAACCAGCTGGCATGAGCCAATTTAATATTCTAGTTGCTTTAAATCTAACCAAACAACCAGATAAAATCCCAAACGCAGAATGCAAAATCAAACATCCATAATTGAGCTGTCATAGTTTGCTCTGCTCTTCATATTCTGACCCTGTGCTCTCATAGTCATGGCTTGCAAATTGATAAGAGCTCTGGTTTTCTATCTCTTTCCATACTTATGTAAATTAATTTCTCTCTTGTGTCCACACATACTGCCTGGCATTTCCTGACCTTTTATTTTTGGGACCCTTTACTTCAGGGCCTCTCTTGTGGCCATGTAAAGATGGACGGCTGTCAAAAATGAAAAGAACGGTTAGCGATTGGTCCTGTTATTACCCTATTTATCTAAAAATAGAATATTGCCCTCGTCAGTGACATTTTCAAGAGTTAAACGTGAAAACTTTGTTGAATATTCAGCTGCTCAAAGAAACTAGAAGAAATTGCATTCAGTTTATCTGCCTCTATTGAAGTTGCACATAAAGGCAGGTGGATAGACACAAGTTTACTGTGGCAATGTGCAATTCAACATCTCTGCTCCGCCTGCAGTCAGAACAACAGGTGGGTTTGACGAGGATATTGCCTGATGCTTTTTGCCTGTTCAGAAGTGGATTTCCTGAGAGATTATTAAGACCAGTTTTGCATCTGCCCTGCTAGAAACAAACTGCTTTCCTCTTCCATCCATCTTCCCTTCCCTCCAGGGCTGTACTCTGTTTCACATCCTCCATCTCTGACCAATCAGGTTTCTGTGCCTCTCCCGGGTGGGAAAAAAAATAAAATAAGCCCATTCCCCCACCCACCACTTCCATATTTTCCACGCAGCTTCTGTTGTGCGCCACCGTGACTCATTGTTTATTGAAAGGTAGTCTGTTATTGACCACAAAAAAAAAAATCAATGGCAAACATCCGCAGTGTAAACTCTGATAACACCGTGGAACACATCAAACGAGCATGCAAAGAGAAAAGAGGAAGTTGCATTTATGTTTGTGTGGTTTTACAGTTCGAGCAATGAGGAAAGGCTGCTGTTACCCTCTCCTCCCCCTCCCTCCATCTGCCTCCCCTCATTTTCCTCATTCCTTCCCACATCTCCCATCTAGCTTTATTTCTTCTTCATGTTTACCCCTCTTTCCCCTTCTCATTCTATTCCTCGCCTTTTCCCTCAGACTGTGTATGTGATCATGCATAACTTAGACTTGCTACCTCTTCTGTCTGTGACCAATATGGCAGACATGGTAACTGTGAAGACACACACAAACACACACACAGGCCTGGATTTATCCAATTAATATAAAATACTTGCCATATCTATCTATTTATCTATATATCTATAAGGTTGGAACAGAGTGCCACCTGCTGGCCAGGACGAGCAAATGCATCCTTATTTTATTCATGGGTAAAATCAAACACTGGTTGATCATATGAACAACTTACAATTAAGGGGTTTGCTTATATAATTAGCAATAATATAGTTTATCTTTACCTTTTTATTTTTACAATTATTTCATGCCTCTGAAACCTCTACAGCCATTTTAATAGAATAATCACCTTAATGAATGATCAAAAAATATCTATTATTGTGTTCCATTTTTTGTTTTTTCATTGAAAAGTGTCGTATTGATGTTGTTTTTGCCTTATCATTTGCATCAATGTACTCGAGGCTAATGGCTTTAAACCCAGGAAACACATTTGTGTGATTGTTGCAAATATGTTTTCAGTCTCAAAAGCTACGATTAAAGAGAAGAGTCAAGCAGTTCTGTGTGCTGTATTTACAGCGCCGTTTTTTCTTGCTGCAGCAGCAACAAAGGTTGTTTTTTTTATTTATATATTTTTTTAGATAAACACTCAAACATCAGCTAAACATAATGCTAAACGAGTGGAAATTGTGTGGGCTATTATCCTTTTATCATCCCCTTATCAAATGCAGTAGTGTGTGTTTACTTCAGTGTTACTGATGAAATAGGTCTTCATAAGGGGAGAACAAAAACCTGTGAAAAACAGCTCAACCCTCCCTTTTGTTGTTTCTGCCAAACTCCCTGTGATAGTCAGCAGTTGAGCAGAACGATCCTTGCTGGATATTGTGTGCCGTTTGCAGCTGCTGTCAGCCTGTTCTTCTCCCTCTCTCTCGTTTTTTTTTTCTTTTAAATAAGAGCGAACGGTAATGAGAGGCTTTTACAGTCAATTCAGATGCCTCACTGCCCTCTGGAAATCATAAACAGGCTCTTAATTGAAGGGAAATGTCGAGGTCAGCATGAGGCTCAGCTGAAGATTTACAGCATTCATGAGTGTTGGCGTATAACAGAGACCTTAGAAGTGCTTTCATTTACTAGAATTTCTATGAATTCTTTATGTCTCTCCTTCTTTGTATCTGTGTTTCCGTGTCACCTTTTATTGGTGCATACATTGCTGACACCGAATAGAAAGTTGGCTTTGATTTTCTTAGTCGTGTACAGCTTCTTGTGATGGCTCATTTTACTCACGTGCCATTTTTGCGTCTGCGTGTTTGCTGTTTGTTTAACATGTTTTCCTCAGTTTCAGTTTTATGTTTCTCACAGCTACAAATTATCTTCTTTCATTCTATCTTCTTGCTTCTGCAAAAAAAGGAAAAAACACATAAAAGAACAAATTTTTGCAAGTGAGCAACATTAAAGTGCCAGTAGCAGCCCCATGAAATTTAAATGAACTGCTGATAATCTTCTCCCTCTTTTCTCTCTGTTTTTCATTCGCGTCTCTTCTCTGTGTCCCCTGCAAGAAGAGGAACGGCAACTCATCCAAGGTCCATCAACAGGTGCCGTAATAGGAGCGATCCTCGGTGCTCTCATCTTCATCTGCATAGTCATCATCGGCACCATCTTCTTCATCCGCAACCGGCAGGAGGACGCAGAGTAAGTCTTCATTAGCAATCCTGTATCTACTTAATCGTTTATTTAACCTCCTGAGCAAAACTAATCCCCCCTCGAGGACTAAGGCTCATTAAGACTTGTTACATGTCATGAGGGAACCCACCAGAGGAAGCTCTGTGATAAATTCTGACCTGAAGTTTATAGCATGAGGCTGCTGGGAGATTTTATTCCCAAAATGTTCTGCTCTGAGCTCCCATTTCAGCTCCTGCAGTTCCCCTCCTGGGCTTCAGCTGTAAATGGAGATTTATTAAACTCCAGTTTGAAGGAGGGGTTTTCCAATCTGAGGCTTCTTGTAGAGGCCTCCAGTAAATTAACAAACATGCAGCTATTGTTTACCGCCTGTTTGCTGAGTCAGGGGTTAATTAGATTTCGTTGGAGACGCCTTGCTGATGCCGTGCAGCTACTTCCAGTAAACTGATGCAACAAAAAAGATGGAATTTATGGTGATTACTAAGCATAAATGATTAACCATAAATAATGCTTGCAGAGTCAGGGTCAGAGTAAACATCTACTGAGTGATTAATAATTCTGATTAAGGATAGGAAAAGAACCTCTGTCCAGTGGCGGTCCTAGCCTGTTTGGCGCTCCGGGCTAACACTCCCTCTGGCGCCCCCCCCCACACACACACACACACTCACACACACACACACACAAATCATATTATGGATTGTACATTAACATAAAACTGTTGTCAAAATTCACCAGAGAAACACACACACATATGAAGAGAGAGAGAGTGTGCATAGTATGCAAACGGCTACCAAACAGCCATCATAATTCGTCATACAATGAGAACAGGACAAATCAACAACTGACAATGACTAATTAATATTAAAATCTGTAACATAATGTATTGTTTGGAGTTTAGTCTGTTACTGTTACTATTTTTACCATTTCTTCTTGGAGCAACTGTAACGCACATAATTTCCTTCCTGTATCTTTTGCTCGTTTCTCCTCCTCTTCTTTTCCCTTTTTTCTAAACTGAGGACCTGATGGCTTTGAACTTTTCTTGTCCATCTTCCATTGGTTTTAATTTTGCACTCCAGTATGAACACCCATTCCCCAACCCGAGGATCACCACAACATAACCTAACAGACCTACACCTTAGTTCACAGATTCACTTTGTCTAGGGTGTATTTCTGGGATTTCACACAACCCAGGATTCAAATCATGAATACATAATTTACAACATTATGAATGAAATGTGCTCTACTTGGAAGCAGCCGCCCCCCTCCCCTTTCGACGGGTTGTGTGTGAGACTTTAAATCATCAAACTGTAAATTATAAATTTTAAATTGTTATTGATCCCTTTACCCCGAGTCCTAAAGCATATATTTATTTTCTTACTGTTCTTATATTTATTGTTTGTTTACTTGCACTGCTGTAACTGGAGTCTCATCGTCTCGTCTCTCTATAAACTGGACTGTATGTAGCGGAGATGACAATAAAGTTTACTTTGACTTCAGCAGCGAGCAGGCGCACCAAGGGCTCTCGCGCTCACTTTTCACGTATAGAATTTCGAAAAACCATCGGTGCAAATTATAAGTCTGTATCATAATGTCTGGTGTTTTTGTGTTTGTTGTTTTGTTTTTATTTTGTTTTATTTTGCGAGTTGGTTATTAGATGCTGCTCCAGCCAGCCAGAGAATCCCCCGCCGCCCCGCCCTCTCCTCCCTGTGCCGCAAGGGAGTAGAGGGCCCCACTCACCTCTTCACGGCTAACTGCCCCTTAGTTTTATCTGCTCCTCAGAAATCAAGAGTTTTGGGGAGGAGGTGTGGATGTGCGCTGTTGCCCAGCAGTCAGATGTTCATGTCACATCTGTCCGCTCTATTCACCACACATATCACCTCTGGGGGTAGCTAGTGCGTCTTCTTACACATCTGTTGGGGCGGAGGTATGTGTGTGTATGACTGGGCCTGAGTTTGGGACTTGTTGCGCCTTAACCCCTGTGGGACATGGCGGAGGGTTGCTCCTCTTACTGCTCCCATTTGATCGTTACTGCCTCTTTGTGGATGTCAGTAGTTGGTGGTTCGGTGCACATGGTCAGATGATCTGGCGTGTTCACTGACCTGCTTCCTTGGAGGTTGTGTTTCAGGGTGGCTCAGGCCTTGTTGTGGTGGGGGTCTCTGGGGGGTGTTGGGCTGTTATCAGGAGCCTGGGGCACAAGGCCTCTGGGCCCGGTCCTTGGCTCGTGTCTGGTGGATGGTCAGCTGCCCATTGCTCCCAAGGAGCTCATTGCTCCTTTGGAGCTCTTGCCCTGCGGCCATGGGGGATCTGTCTTCCTTCTGCTTCGCTGGGCATGCAGTTATTATTGTGACGTGCAGCCTCTTCAGTGCTCTTGGTGGGCTGCGGACGGCCCGGGTCTCCTGGGCCTTCCTCTGTCTGGTTCTGGCTCCCAGGGGCCGTGTTGCGGCGTCTAATCCTCTTTATCAAGTACTTTCATGACAAATGCACACACACTTTGTTTGTTTTTGTTGTTATTTCTCTGTCAGTTGGTTTGTCTTGATTGTGTTTTGTTACGAATGCAGCAACTGATGACCTGTCATGTTTTATTTGTACTTGGTCCTTTATTGTTATGTTTATTCCCTATTTTTCTCTTTTTTCTTATTCTTTCTCTTTTCTCTTCTCTTTTCTTACGCCTGACAGCTCTGCATTCTTACACTCCACATATATAAAATAATTAAAAATAAATAAAAAACAGGTGAACAAGAGAAGCCTATAAAGTTCATAGATCTCCTCTCCTCAGATGTGTTTGGTACAACGATGCACTCAGACCATGGTTCTGCTTGTCAAAGCTGCCAGACAGACCGGGTTACTAAAAAATAAAAATAAAAGTTGTGTCTTACCGGTGTCAGCAGCAGCTTTCAAAAGGAGCAACAAGGTGAGCAGTCTCCATTTTGGCTTTGCATCACATTTTTCACAGTTTCTCTAACACTTGGTGAGTAGTTTGGCTGTTTGCAGACAAATTGTTGTCTCTGGTGACCACAGCAACCGGCTCACAGCCAAAGTGATCACACGAAGATTTTCAGTCCAGTACTGCACACCTCTTTCTCTACAATTACTCACCAACTGGTCACAGAAAGCATTTTCCCAAGCAGCCAGAGGTCTCTGCAACCAGTTGGGGAACATGTTTTTCTATTGTGACCAACAAACTGGCCTCTAGGCTGGTGTGATGGAGGCCTAAGGCTACCATCTGTGATTAGCATCTATATTGGTTGATTGTACTATGGTTGCTATGTACAGACACGGATACCTGTAGTTATTACTTAGTAATGCTATAATTTCACTCTTCAAACCTGAAGAACAAATGTTTTGGACTGCATATCAAATAGCATAATTTGCTATTAAAAAGGCTCAAAAAGCACCAAAAACATGGTCAAGAGGTCGAGTACTATGACTCATGTTATTACCCAAGCCCAAGAGCTGCTGGCATTTGTCAGTCAAAGCAGCCACAGCCAGAAAGAAAAGATAAGTTATAAAAGGAAATTAGGTAAAGAGACCAAAACCTTTTTTTGTTTGTTAGCCACACAGGTCCACATGTTTATTTCTGTAGTAAAATTAGACATTTTAACATCACAGGCTATGGTGGTAGATGCTCTTTTGTAACCAGCTTCAAGTGGCCACTCCAAAAACTTCAGTTTTTGGCAGTTTAGCATTGGCTTCATTTTTCAGCTCTAAGCATGATGCTTGGATGAAACTAGGGTGAATATTGGAGCCCAGAAACACAACTCCACGTGAATGAATGCTGGTACTGCATTATTTCTGCTGGGTGATAAGGTTATTGTTGTTATTTTTGACTTGTTAGGAGAGGCTTTACTGTGTCTGTGGTTTCGTAGAGGCTTTTAAAGGTTTCTTAAATGAAGCTGTGGATCTTATTTTCAAATCCTACGTGTTGACGGGTTCTCCAAGTCCATCTACGGTAGCACGCATTTTTAAAAACGCTTTCTAAAGTTGATTTCTTAACCATCAGTGCTTGTTTTTCTTTAACTCAAAATGTTTGGGTTTTTTTTTCCCTCATAGTGCTGAATTTTGTAAGAAAAGAATCTAGATTAAATGACTTTATATTTCTGTGATCTCTCAGTGGCCCAAGTTGTTTCTCCGTTGAATACAAAGAAATCTGTCTTAACGAAACAGAGATCAATACCACATTACCACTTTGTCTTTTGTCCAATCAGGGGCCCACCCAAGCACAAGCCCCCTCCCCCAGTGAAGGCAGGCAGCTCAACAGAAATGGTGAGTGGTCGGCGCGGTTTCAGATCAATCCTTATTGTCACCACAATTATATTCCACTCACACACACAAATACACACACAGTCCATTTGGACACTCATGATGGGGCTAATGGCTATTGATCGGAGATCCGAGTTGGCTTACGTGTGCCGAAATAATTAGCTTGGATTTTCGTAAAGAGGTCCATTAGAGCACTCCTCTCCTCGCCATGTCTGTTACTTTACTCCATCACTCACATTTTGATACGCTTGAGCCACGTTATGTAATGTGACTAAAACTCTATAATTTTATGTTGATTAGATTGTATAAAAGATGTCTAAAAGGCTATAAATGCCTTGGCTGAAAGGAAGGTTCACAGGGTTCAACAGTGGAGGTTTATTAGGCATTTACAGGATTTTCTACAAAGCGCCGACTGTAGAACATGACCAAATGACAGCATTATCTCTGTAGCTCTATATTTATGCATAACTCTTTGAGGGCAAGTCTCGGCCAAGTCGCAAGGCTTTTCTTTTAACATTTTTCTTTCAAAGTTGCTATCAGTGGGAGTTTTTTTTACATATCTTAGATGGTGTTCTTTTGATGCCTAATGATTGAATATTCCAGCCGTATGATCGTGCAAAAGCAAATTTTGAGGGAGCCACATCTGTTATCTTGTTAAATAAAGATAAATGTATTCAAACTTTTAACTTTTTATAGTTAGAACCAGCATTCCTATCAATTATGATAACCCTGTGCTCGCCAGTGTCCTGTAATTGAAATCTTGGGACAAGACTGCTACCGCTGGGTGTTTATAGAGAACGTAAGAAGTCAGCTTCCTTTGGAAGAAAAAACTTCAGGGAGTTTTGTAATGCCTAATTAAACAGGAAAGTGGTGAAAGCTCCATTTTAGTAGAATTTTGCTATAAAACGTGATAAATGTTCTCAACAGCATCAGTCATTTTTTGAACAGACCTTCATTTCCTTTTGCAAATAAAATACGCCAAACTTGTCAGTGCAATATTTAGTGGTCTAGATTAGATTAGATTAGATAGAACTTTATTAATCCCTCGGGTGGGTTCCTCTGGGAAATTCGATTTCCAAAAAAGCACAGCACCGACAGAAGTTACAGAGTTACAGAATATTATATATATATATATATAATACACACACACACACACACATATATAAATACAGAGACAATATAAATAAAATATACGAAGGGGATAAATAGAATAAATAGGAATAAAAAATAAAAATACAAGTGAATTGCACATTTCAAGTATTGAGGTCTATTGCACCGTTGACTATTTACAAAAGTATTGCACAAAAGGTATTGCACAGTGAGGTGAAGAGGCACTACAGCTTAGTTGTTCCCCCCTCCTTTGTCCTCCTGTTTCCCCTCCCTCTCCCCTCCAGAGAGGAGTTAAACAGTCTGATGGCGTGTGGGACAAAGGAGTTTTTAAGTCTGTTAGTTCTTGTCTTTGGGAGAAGCAACCTGTCACTGAACAGACTCTTCTGATTGTTTATGGCCGTGTGCAGAGGATGCCTGGCATTGTCCATAATGTCCATCAGTTTCTTTAATGTCCTTTTCTCTGCCACTGTCACCAGAGTGTCCAGCTTCATGCCGACCACAGAGCTAGCCCTCCTGATCAGTTTCTCCAGCCTGGATGAGTCCTTCTTTGCTGTGCTGCTCCCCCAGCACACCACAGCATAGAAAAGTACTCCAGCAACCACCGACTGGTAAAACATCCTCAGGAGCTTCCTGCAGATGTTAAAAGACCTCAGCCTCCTGAGGAAGTACAGTCGGCTTTGGGCTTTTTTATACAGGTGCTCTGTGTTGCATGACCAGTCCAGTTTATTGTCCACCCACAGCCCGAGGTACTTGTACTTGTTGACCACCTCCACCTCCTCCTCCCCCTCTATCTGAACCGGCAGTGGACCTGCTCTAGACCTCCCGAAGTCCACAACCAGTTCCTTAGTCTTTGAGGTGTTGAGTTGCAGGTGGTTTGTATGACTCCATGCGACAAAGTTCCTCACCAGACTTCTGTACTCCTCTTCCTGATCATCCCAGATACACCCCATGATGGCCGTGTCGTCTGCAAACTTCTGAATATGGCATAATTCAGAGTTGTAGCAGAAGTCAGAGGTGTACAGGGTGAAGAGAAGAGGGGACAGCACAGTTCCCTGTGGTGCTCCTGTGCTGCTGACCACTGTGTCAGACGTGATGTCCTTCAGCCTGACGTACTGTGGTCTGTCGGTGAGGTAGTCGGAGATCCAAGCCACCAGGCAGGGGTCCACCTCCATCCTGTTCAGTTTTTCTTGAAGCATACAGGGCCGGATGGTATTAAAGGCACTGGAAAAGTCAAGAAACAGGATCCTGACCGTGCCTTTTCCCCCATCCAGGTGTGAGTGGGCTCTGTGTAGGAGGTACAGGATGGCATCCTCCACTCCGACACCCGCCTTGTATGCAAACTGTAGTGGGTCCTGGGCATGTTGTACCTGTGGTCGGAGGAGGTTGAGGAAGAGCCGCTCTAGAGTCTTCATAAGATGTGACGTCAGTGCCACCGGTCGGAAGTCATTCAGCTCATTGGGCCGGTTCTTTTTGGGGACCGGGACGATGCAGGATGTCTTCCATAGGGCGGGCACTCTCCCCAGTCGCAGACTGAGGTTGAAGACTCGTTGTAGCGGCTCCCCAAGTTCAGCAGCACACGCCTTTAGCATCCTAGGACACACCTTGTCTGGGCCTGCTGCCTTTCTGGGGCGAAGCTTCCTCAGTTGTCTCCTGACCTGATCCACTGTGACACTGGGAGATGTTTGGGAGGAGGGGAGGGGGGGAGATGTCTTGCTGCTGAGAGAGGGATTGGAGGAGGGGGGTGTCATGGTGTCAGGAAGGGGGGGAAGCGAGGGAGGTAGGAGAGTGGGGATTGGACTCTGTAGTGAAGGTGAGGGTGGGGGGGTTGTGGGCTGGTCAAACCTGTTGAAGAAGTTGTTAAGTTCGTTTGCCTTCTCCACAGTCTAATCACAATCTAGATTACAGCAGTTACTTTGACGTTATTATAATCAATAAAAACAACTGATAAGGCTTTAAAACAACAGCTGAATCGCTGTAATAATCTTAGATCTCTTTTAAAAGTGGAGTGCTCTTTAAGCATCTGAATGCAAAAACTGTGAGCAAGTTTCATAGTGCTAGGATCATATGTGAGCTAGCATGGGCAGCAGAGAGCTAAACTTCCCACGTGAAAAGCAAAGAAAGGAATAGAAATTGAATTTTATTGGCCTTTTCATTCATTTAGATTCATAACAAATTACCAGCAAATGAAATTATTGAGGTCTTGAACTGGATGTCTTTCAATCATAATCTGGATATCATGGCTGCACCTAAAAACTGGCCTTCATCAGCTCAAGTTTCATCACTTTCCAAACATCAAATTAAGTTGTGCAGAAACACAAGTAGACTTGAGCCATTAGGTGAGGACACTTGCCTGTTAACCCTCTAAGTCATCCAGTTTTTGATATGAGTTGGTTTTAAAGATTGTTTTTTATTTGTTCCCTGATTGCTAAGACATCTGAGAACAATCTAATAGAAACTAAAAATGCATGTTGCGTAGGGTTGCAATTAGCAATAGGACAGGTGGCCTCACATTTGACTCTGTATACTGTGTATACTTACATACAGAGCAGTTCATGGTCAATTCAAACACTGCACGTTCATCTGGCTGCAAAACAATCCCAAATCATCACCCCTTCATCATCGTGCTTCACACTTGGTATAGCTGGTAAAAGGTGCATGAGCTTAAACGCTGTGTGGCACTACCCATTATGCCTAAACATCTCTACTTAGCCTCTTCTGTCCAAACAACATTGCTCAAAAAATCTTGTGGTTTGTTTAGATAAACTTTGCAAACCTAAGCTGTCCTGTCGTGTTCTATATAGAGAGAAGAGGCTTTCTCCTAGCAACCCTTTGAAAAAAAGCCATACTTGTTCAGTCTTTTTTAATTGTACTGACATAAAGTCAAAAATCAAATAGATTAAGATGTAGCTCTGAGATGTTTTGCAATTACTTTGAGCACTGCATCGTCTAACATTCAGATTTTTATCTGCTGGGCCATCCAATCCCGAGAATATTGTGGCATTTTGTTAAGACACACCTGAATGGTCCAGACAAGCAAACTGCCAAAACCTCACTTAGCTGTTATTTACCCTCTTAATTGCTATAGAAACATGTGGGTGTTGTTCACAGGGCCGCACAAAGTCCTGTGAAAATTCTTTTTCACATGACTGTAGGGTTATGGTCGCCAGCAGTCAGTAGGATAAGCCCAGTACGGTCAACGTGCCGACACATTTACACCTCAGACGATGTTCAGTTTTTCAGTCAATAGCCCTTTTGTTCCATTCACATGCATTTGGTTTGTTATAGAACAATGCAGCCGACTAAAAAGAGCAGCATGCATTTTCTATAAAAATCATCTGAAATGGCTCAGCCATGGAGATAACTAAGTAGACTGCGGTGATAATTCAGGCAGACTTTCGTCCTACATTAATATTACAGATGTTTTTACAATCCGTCACTAAGTTTTTCAAATGAAACATAAAGTAGTCAGCTGAGGTTTCTGAGGAGATAACAACAGAATGAAAAAATAAAGACAAAAGTAAGGTAAAGACACCATGACGTAGTAGCCAAATAATCTTCTCTGAGTTTCGGGTTCATGATATCATGGTAACCCTCCCTAACCTACCACAGCTTGACTACAAGTACTGTTCAGCTGGTGTAAAAAGAACCAAGGGAGACTTCAAAACAGATACACGATAACCTCCAGGATAAAGGTACAACAGTGCAGACACACCTCCCATGGCTTTCTGAATGAAAATGGGCTCCATGGAACAAGACCCCACTTTTGAAAGAGAAACATAAAAAAAGCTCAGCTGTTTGTTCAAATGCATGCTGACAGGCCACATTGCTTCTGGGAGAATATTCTTTGGACAGAAAAAAAAACAAAATTAGAGCTTTTTGGTAAGTCGCATCAGCTTCATGTCCACAAAAGAAAATTTTCAAAGAAAGATCAAAGGAAATCCTCCCTATGAAATATGGAAGAGGCTTACTCATGTTAGAAGGTTGCTTTGCTGTGCCGGCCGCAGGGGTGCTTCAGTCTGTGCAAGGCAGAGAGAAATCATAAAAAAGACGAGTATTTGTTGAAAAAGCATCTGAGGCTGCCTAAATCACAGTTCATTGATTGTCCAACAAGCTAATGTCCCAAAATGTACTTCTTAAAGCACCAAAGGATGGACATGAAGGAAACCCTGAATCTTTCTGAAGTTTTATGAGTCCCTATTTTAAAGCAGTGTAACTGCTCTTGCTTGAAAGTTGCTGATGTCTTGAAGATGTACGCAAGTTGTTCTTTGGCGTTAATGCACGACAATACACTAGTCGTGGCAAAACTGAAGCCGATCTCACTTCAAATTCATCACATGTGAACGCTTGTTTACAGTGCCTTAAAACACTATTATTTACGGACAGTTAGTACATTTTAACCTCAATCTATGATAGTTTCCTAAACAAAACGAGGAGTTTTGGTGACTAAATGTAACCAAACAGTGAGCTAAAACCAACTGAACCAGTCATGCTTTCTTCTTATGTGGACGTATGTGTCACTCAAGAATCAACATCAAAGGATATATTGTGCATGTTTCTCTGAAGCCAGCCGTTTCTGAGACAACAGCAGTATTTCGATGCACTAGGTTGATTTAGCATGTATGGAAAGCGGTGAAACTGGCAAAGCACAAAGAACAAAGCATGCATGAAAACTGGAAGACGTGAAGTTTGGTCAAGCAAAGTTAAACTGGACTTCAAAGTGTAACCCCATTACAAGTTACCGAGAGAAAAAAATACAAGAAAGGCTTGATTGCAGTGATTGCCTTTAAAAAAGGTAAGCTCCAAAATATTAGGCTAAGCCTCCTGAATTTTCCTTGCCTGCCCCTTTCATTATTTAAAATAATGTTATGTTAAAATCAAGCGAAAGCTCTCTCGACAATTGAATTACTGACATGTGGAACCCAATTATTTTTTTCAATTTTAACTTATTTCTGTGAAAATTCTGATTATTGGCCGTAGTAACAAAACGGCAAAGGTCGTGTGCTGAAAACATCTTTTCATGCTTGTAAATGAAACCACTATGAATCATTGTGCGTGTGTGTACATCAAATACACACGTGTAAGAGTGTGTTATTCTCTCACAGGTTACATATTCTCACTCTAAGATCCTATTTTATTGCACTGTTTCCACTTTGCTCTCTTCCCTGTGTGTTGATGTGGTTTCTGTACATGCAGCTCAACAAGCCATCAGAGCCTCCCACAGCCACAGAGACGGCGCCTCTCAGCCCAGGAGAGGTTTACTACGAGCCCACAGGGAGAGAGCCTGTCACTGTAACTATAACACATAAATATGCACACACACACACACGCACACAAACACGCTCGCAGATACAAAAGCATGTTTTGCTCACTGACACATGAGCCACACTTCAGCCACAGGGGCTCCATATCTGTTTGGACAGCTACACTGTTGTGGGGACCTCATGGTGTTTTCACTTTGTACCAATCAATCAACTGTTATTAATATTAAGCTGTGAATAATTACTTGAACTTCATAAAATGGTATTCTAATTAAATGTAAAAATGAAAGTCTTCACAACTTCCTGTGTTATTCCATAATCCCTCTGGTATGTAAATGAGTTGTGATAATTACTTAAGAGACATTCTGTAGTCTTCAGGTCAACTGATTTACATATATTATTGACAATCACATACAGTTAATTCCAAAAGTATTGAGACCTCTTTGCTTTCTGCGCACTTTACTGGACTGTAGGTTTAATTTTAAATGGATAAAAATTGTGCTTTTACCCTTTAGTCTACGCTTAATATAATAATAATCAAGTAAAAACATGCATTTATGTAAAGTACTCATACCTTTAATTCAGTGTAGAAGCCCCTTTGGCAGAAGCTTTGAGTTTTCCTGTAACTGTAGATGCTTGCACACATGGATTTAGGCGGTTCATCGTGGCGGATCCATTTCCAGACTGAATGAAAGCAGATGTTAAACATCTTCAGTCCTTCCACAGTTTGGGGGCAGGAGGGGTTAAATTTGGGCCACTTAATGAAAGTTAGAGATTCACATGTGTAGCAAAACTTACAAGGTACTGGCGTGATTGTTGGGGTGAAAAATCACCCCAGTCTCAGGACAAGCGCACGCTTTAAAATGTTTTCTTCAAGGACTTTTCTGTGTTTGGCTCCATTCATCCTTCTCTCTTCAACCCTCTATTTCTGCCCAAAAAGTTCAATATTTGCCTCATCAGATGCTTTCAGAGTGCATTAAATGCCATTTGGCAAACTCTGAGGAGGCCGCCATGTGCCTTTTAGTCCAGAGTGGCTTCTGTCTAGCTGTTCCACCTCTAAGGCCTAATTAATGAACTGCTTTCCAGCATGTTCTCCTGCATCTGCAGAGCAATTGCGGAGCCAAAGGTTACATAGTGTTTTCTATTTTAAAAGACGGGGCCAGTTCCATTAACATCTTTATGGGAGGCAGGGAAACGTTGTACATTTTTTTAGCATGGCCACAGCCAATGACATCAGTGGATGCAACTTTGGGATCACTGATAGCACAGTAACAGCTCTACACCAACACGTTCGTCTGTGAATACTTCCTCACATGTTGGTTTTTGCAACTTTACTTGTGCGATTTCACATTCAAGAATTGTACCTAAACTATATCCATTCAATTCTATTTACCGCATGTGGAATCCAATCAGGTTTTTAAGGATTAATTACAGCAAAAATTAATTACAACAAACACTAATTACAGCCTTCAGGATCCCACCAAGTGCCGGACGTCCACGATGGTGTTTTGGGGGGTAAATCTGGTCAGTTCAGCCTTTAAATAGATGTCACTTTATGCTGAGTTTGATTGCAAAGTTGCACGTAAAAAGTTGTCTTTATTGCACATTAGAAATAATTCTAAAAAGGTTTTCTTGATGTCCTGCTAACAATCTGAAAGGACTTTGGTAGAGGATCATTAGGGGGTCCTTTGTCCCTCTTGGGGGGACACTCCCACAGGGTTTAAATCTGGGACTCTTCACCATTTGACCTTAGAACTGAAGAAGCTTCTCGGATGAGAGGTGAAACGTCTTCAAGCAACTCAAAGAAGTCCAGACACTTTTCTTTCCAAGCTCCTTAGACTTCGATGACCTGGATGATTGAGAACCTTCATAGACAAAACCTGACAGGACAGCTTTTCATCTTTTACCATTTTAACAGTTGTTGTTTAGCTATGTAGCAACACTCTTAAACAAACATCATTTCACCTGAGCGCAGTTTGCATTAGATGACAGCGAGGGTCTGAATTCTTTGATGTCACAGATTATTACCTCCACTAAGGAGGCTGCTTTCTTTTCTGTCTGCAAACTCGATAGCTCAAAAATTTTGAATGAATTCTGATAAAGCTTTGTAGGATTTCAGATTGGGGTGATGTTAACAAGAAAATGTGGCTTATTGGATTAAAGTTGACAAAAAACCTTATAATTGATTTTTACTGCACTATAGACTTAAATTATGTTTTAAAAGTAGGTACAGTACTGCCCAGAGCAAGCTGTGGTAAAAAAACAAAATTTACAATACAGTAAAGTGTGCAAAAGCTGAATGCTTTTCTGAATCCACTCTTTACATAATATCACCTTATAACAATTATAATAGTAACTGATAAAGTATGGGATAGTAAGCCTGTTTATGTGTCCACTTTGCAGAACCTGGACGATGAGACCACCGGAGCCCTGAACGGCAGAGCCCCTCCAGTCAAATACGAAAAAGAGCGCAAAGATCATGCAGCAGACGGTCACCATAGCAATGATTTGGATTCTTCTAATCACGAGGTGCCGGCTGCCAACATTTCTCGTGGCGAAAGCTTTGTTTCTCCTGCCATGTACGTCTAGTTTTGGCAACCGGAACACCACGTCACAGGCATATGGGCAAATTCCAGGTCACGTTATTTAGCATGAAAAGTAAAGGCAAGCACACGTTTCCGCCATTTTTCTTGTAAACATTTACAAATGTTTAAAAAGTTTTAGTCCACACATGATGAATGTTTTCAATTTATTTTTATTTACCTTTCTTATTTAGTGGGTGTTATGGGTTTAAATATTTTCTCACTTAATATAAATAGTTTTTTTTTAATCTGTCGTAATGGTACTTGAGACAAAGAATTCGGTCAGTTAAAGTAAAAACAGCTTTTTTTTAAATTAATTTTATTTTTTAACCTCTGCCAACTGGAGCCAACTGGAACATCTTGCCATTAGCTTTCAGACAACCTAGAGCTACAATACAAAACATCGTGACAGACACACGCACATAGTAATCCATGATATTAGAAAACCAGAGAGCCAGTGAAATCACAATTTACAATAATTAAAAAAGTTAATTAGATGGTCAAGAGCTTGTGTAATGCACGTGAACTGGACTACACAGTGCCCTACTTCTGTGTAGTGTTAGCAAATTGTTTGATTTGCTATCAGACGCAATATGCAACATCTCGTGCGATGACCACACGGTCAAAAAATTCTTGTTGTATGTGAGGCTGCCAGTCCTGAGCTCTTCAGTTCACATCTGTGGAAAGTAAGTTCCCCTCTAAGTCAAGATGAAACACCAGGGAGCCGAGTACTACAGGGGAAGTAAAACAACCACATCTGAAGTCCTTTCAAAGCACTCCTCTTTTGCCGCTGCTTGAGTTTAGACGAGGCTGAATTCAACCCCAGGAAGTCCAAAGCCTGATCATCTGGCTCTCCAGGCAGCTTCATTAATCGCTCAAGACATTTGAAAACACATTTCAGTTATTTGTCAAGTCCCAAAATAACTGTAAAAAACCCCCCAACTCATCCTTGCCCAGATTACGGTCCAATAGAGAAACATTCCACTTTATTATGTTGTCAAAGAGCCTCATCTGTCCCTGCAACTGTCAGAGCGACGGGGCTGCTCGTTAGCGCTAACGAAGGGGAAGTGACATCATTTTCAAGCTCTGTAACCTGGCAACATCACATCATTTAAAGTCCACGATTCATATTTGTTCTTGTTAATTGCAAGAGTCGGTAAGAGTGTGGGCTGGGGAGTGAAGGAGACTAAAGAAAAGCACACACGCAGGAGTGCACACACACAAACAAAAAGCCTCCACCAATTTTTGCTTTCAGTCCTCTAACAAATCACACAGTTAGAGTTGAGGAAAACATCATAAGGAATGTATTACAAAATGTGTAAATGCTCGGCATATATTAGAAGGATACTGCCATTACAGCCATTTTAACAGATTAGAATGGTCACAAAATCCGATATATGCAGATCATTTCGCACATGTCGAAAATATGCAGTCTGCATTTTATCCAAGAGTCGACTTGAAAGGGAAAAAAAACGCGAAAAAGAAGGCGAGCGACAACTTTGCCTTCAGGCTGAATCAAGAATTGGTCTTTACAGATGTCAGATGATGGTACCAAATCATGGACAGTGTAAATAGTATTGATAATATTGATGAATAATATATTGTTGGTGAAATGTGTACACATAAAAAAATAAACAAGTGTAAGTGTCATCAGTGCCTCTGTACAGGGGATGGAAGTTTGTTAAATGTCAAACGAGCGACTAAAAAAAGACAAAACAAAGTGTATATTACTATTTTGCTTTTCACGGGTGCATCAAGGTTGTCACTTAATACTAAAATGTTTTTGAGTATATAAAAAAATGATGTGGATTTTACTCCGTGTTCATATTACTCTGCATGGCATGATCGGTGGCTTGTTGAAACATTTTCCCAAGGCTGTTTGCGGAATAATCTTCATTTGTAAAAACATTTCTGAATGTCAGAAAAGAAAGCTGTTTTTCATTTCTGTCTCAATGCATCTGTCATACTCATGCACACCACGAGTCCAATTTAAGTTGAGAGAGCGGGATATTTTTTTGTTTTTATTTTTTCCTTTTTTTTTCCGTCTCACGACGGTTCCGCAAGCTGCCTGTTTTAGTCTCGAGCACTAATCTTAAAATGCAGTCAGCATGGAATCGTCGTCTCTTACGGCCACTGAGCCCAGCTCACACAAAAATACGCCAACTTTTTTTTCTTAATCTTGGGTTCTTGCTTCAGACTTTGAGCCGCACAAATCTTTCAGAGCCATCGTGTTTACTGTCAGAGGGCAGAGAAAGGCGGGCAGCTGATAAACTGCAGATTTGTCAGCAGGTATAAAAGTTAATGGAGGTGTCACGTAGACATAGATGGAAACAAAAGAGAGAGACAGGGATACAGTGGTGCATGGTGAACGTAGATTGATAGAATAATAACATAAGATTAAGGAAAAACTGGAAGACTTATGGGAAATTAAAACAACAAAGTAGAAAAATTCTGATCACAGCTTTCACTCTGCACAGTAGACGCCAGATGATATTTGTTTTGCCGACATACAGTATGACAATCATTTGTTTTCTTCATATGCACTATGCTTAGTCATTATAATAGTCCCACTTTATGCTGCTACATTATCATTTGTCCCCAAAAGAGGCATGCGTGTTTTCCAAATTATGTTTACAGTTTTCATAATGCGACAATTAGCTGAAATTAGCTGATTTGCTAGCTAATGTATAGCTAAATCCGGCCAGATGGAGGATAAAAGAGGACTTCTAAAGCAGCAAATAGGGTTAAAAGTTTTTGTTGCATACCTACTTTGTCCCACTAAGATGTTTATTCTCATTAGAGGAAATGTCTGCATGCTGCATGGGCCTATTTCCATATTTTATAAGAAGAGTCGCCCCACATTAACAAGTATACGGCCTTTTGACTCGCTTATATGGTGCAGTGTCAGACAATCGTATATGATGTATTTTATAGCCCCGACACAGAACAAAACTGTCATAAAGGGAAGTCAGTGTAATGGTTTTGCTTTTTTGTTGCTAAATTATTTTCACAAAATGAATGAATATTTAGTTTCCTGTGGATTTATTGTGTTTAATGCGTTAGCCAGGAGGCTGTTCTTGAGAGATTGAGCAAGAGGGAAAAGACAATCATTGGGACCCATTATATCAGAGACCAATGACTCAGCAAACCATTCAGTTCTGAGTTTCGACTCTGCCGTATCATTTAAGGATCATTCGGTTTTTCCCAGAGCCTTGCGTTTAATAGAGTTGCTTCATTGTGAGGTATCTGGAATTAGATTGTTGCCATTTCCAGGAATAGATATGAAGCTGACTCATAAAATGCAAACTGCAAAAACATAATTCGGTTTACACTACAGGCTGCCAAACAGCATGGGTCCACAGTTACAAGATGGTTATCGGAGGTAAGTGCAGTGATTTTACATGGATTATCTGTCAGATAAAGGCTCCGGCTTCCTCCCTCTGTGAGAGGTGCAGTGTTGCCTTTTGGCCCAGGTGCTTTGCTCAGTCTCCCCACTTCCTCTGTTATTAGTTCAGCTCCAGAAACACAAGCTGTGAATGCCAGTGGTAATATTGTTCAGTCTGTATTCAGTCTCTCATCCACCCTCTTTGTTTTGTTTTTCTTCTCCGATCTCTCGTTCATTCATTGTCATCACAGCTTTTTATCACGGAGCCAGACGTGCCTTCTTTATGTTATTTTTAGCTTTTCAATTCTCACATTTCTTCTCTGACAGTAGAACAGATGACGAAACTGGGAAATACACAAACACGGGATGTGTTTGACATTGATAGTGACAGTGCTAAAACAGAAAAAACAACAAAAACACTGGAGATCAAATCATCTTATGTGAGTGTTTATTGGGTTTTCTTTCTTTTATTTTGTGTATCACAGATCAATTATCATTTTGTATGCTTTTTGGGAATCCTATTGTACATGTTTTACAACTCATTGTCTTGTCAAATAAAATGTAAACCCAAAAGACAAGAAGCCTGTGTCATTATTACCTCTAACATCTTCCCAGGAGCCAGAATTAATCTGAACGGTTAAAGATGTGGCGAGCCCAAAGATTGTGATTAATATCTTCAGGTAATGTTTGTCGAACATCTGGCAATGTTTGAGCTTTGAATTTGTCATTTTGCAAAATTTACTTGTGAAAAGACAACTTTTGCTAATGATTGTTAGCAATTATTTTATATTCTTGTATTCAGTTTATTAAAAGGTGGCAGTGACAATCATCATGACATCACCAGGAGTTTTGAAACCTCACAAATGTTAGCATTTTGGCTAAGTCAAAGGGGATCATATGTGGATGACAGGTTAAAGTTACCAGCTATTACTAGCAAGTTTGGCTAACAAATGCTAAAGTTGCAACTTGAGATACACATCTGCTAATTACTGTACTAATGTAAACTTTTAGCATACTGACTTATAACATCTAGGCTTGTTTTCAAATTTAGAGGAAGAAAGAGACCCTGAATGTGTGACGTCACTCCTGCAACACGCTAAAAAAACAAATGCACGTGGCTGTATTGGTTGTGGCAGGCAGCAAGCAGTATCATGTGTGGCTTTACTTTTCAAAATGTGATGTAATTCTCTCTGCAACATTTGTGGTAGCCATGATAACACATCTAATCTGAGGAAGCGACTGGTCAAATGCAAAATATGTCTAAAAGCTGAAGAGTGTACCTACTTGAAAGCCTGAAAGCCAACCTCAACAAAGGACGAGCAATTAACGTTAGCACGCCTGTTGTCAGTGTACAAGAAGTTGAACCCATGATGATAAAACTTTTAATGAGGCATCAACAGCTTCATTGACATCTTCTTCAGGTAATTAATTAGGTAGTTAGATAAGTTGGAAGAGAAATGGGGCTCTTTTCACTGTTTTGTTTGATGTTTTAATTTAGCACTTCCTTTTACACTAGCTGCAGTCCAGCTGAAGGGAAGTCAGAATTTCCCAGACTGGAATACTTCAAGTTGGATTTCCAACTGGAAAAATGGCGGCTGTGAACGTAAATGGTACAAAAACTGTAAAGCATTTAATCTGTAGTGTTGTATCCTTGTGACCCACTAAAAACGCAGGACGCAGTGGAACACAGCAATCGTACATCTGAAACCTTTGTATGTAGCCATTACCAATGGTAGTGAAAGATTACTATTTAATATTGTATAATGCAAATGGTATGATATGACCCTGGTAGCTGGTGTGGTGTCTAAAAAGCTACCCAACCCTAAGTAACAAAATAAAATATATTAGAATTTCTCTGCCCAAACCTGAAGCACAAACTAGTCTCTCTTAAAAAAAAAAGGGCAGTGGAGACGTTTACTTCAGTGCCTCCAATTAGTTGGTGTAGCCTAGCCACCCATAACTGGTTACAGACGCCTTTGCTGGGAAACAAAAACTCAAAGTAGCCACTAACTACAAGCCTTACTTGTAGTTAGTGGCTACATCAAAATACTTTTTTTCCCTGGGTCTCAGGAGGATAAACCAGCAACCAGTTGTTACAGGTGACGAGCGATGAAGCTTCAGTCAACAAAAATCCGGCAAGGTCTTTCCTCTTTACACGTCAAATTGGTGTTGCTAGGAAACCAACCAGGACCCTGTACAAGGTGAACAATAACATCTTGTTTGTCGCAAAAGAGATAACACCTTTATAACAACATATTTCATACAACATATCATACTATCCGGTTTGAAGCCTTGCAACCTTTCAAATGGAATTAACAGCAAACTCCTCTCAAAATAGAAACGTGCATTCCAGTTGGAGTTCACAGATTTTTGGCATCTTTTTTTTATTATTATCCTTCTTGAAATGTTTTTATTGATTCCTTGTTCACTGTGTTGTTCTGTTTGCCTTGAAAACTAGTTTGAAACCACCTTGTTTAAAAGAAGATGTGGAAGATTAGGTTCAAATAAAAAGCGATCTATTTTGGAAAGAAAACATCGACTTTTAAATGATTTTTGTAGTTATATCTGGGTAAACTCTCTTCTGCAACCTTTCCTTATAAAAGTATTGGCACTCCAAAAGAACACTTATTACACTTATTTATTTCCAGCTCCATATTTGTATTATTTCTGTTCTTGCAGAAGCGTAGAACAATAATCACAAATAATCCTTAGGTGTCTCATGCTGCACCTTAAAGCACACCTCAGTTCATCCTCTGTTTGGAGAAGCTAAACAGGAAGTTGTAGCTTCTCCTGTTTTAATTCTCACTTGAAGCAAATGTTCTTCTGATTAAGTGTCAATCATAAAGAGTAATTTTAGACTGAAAGTGGATTTCTGTGCTCATGGGACAACTGTGCATCTGAATTGACCATATGGAAGATGATATCCCGTCTCACTGACAGAGATGGGCAGTAAACAGTACTGTAAACTGATTACTTTTTTCAGGTAACGAGTAAAGTAAGTGATTACTATTGCAAAAACGGTAATTAGATTACCGTTACTTTCCCGTAGGAACGCTGCGTTACTGCGTTACTAAAACCGTGATTTTTTTGCAAGAATGTCTCATGACAGTGACGTAAGCGAGTGCGACGTTTGTGACAACAGCTGTGTGCAGATCAACAATGGATCATATATGAGTGCGGGAGAGAGTATGAGCGTGCAGCGTTTAAAGCGTGGAAGTACTGACCTTACTTTGAGTTTGATTCCATAAAAAGTGACAAAAACATTAGCGTCCATCGTGCGTGGGAAGAAAACTTCTTTTTACAGCGAAAAAAACCCCTAAACTTCCGAGCAAGCACCGAGTAGCTACGACGTAATGGGAAACTCACAGAGAAACTCGCGGATTCTTCAACTGACCGCTGCGGCACACCTGCACCAGGGTAAACCTCCGCCTACCCCCACTCCTGCTTTACAGGTGAAAATAGAGTAAAAGGACCGCTAGTCTTTGATGTTATTTATTTTCTGCTGTGTTTTACTTGCATCTATTTGAAAGAGTGAGTGTAAACACAAAATATATATATACATATTTTATGTGCTGGAATGTGTAGAAAATAAGTTTAAATGTTAAACTAATTTCTTCCAGTCAGAGAATGTTGCATATAATTACATTTTTGCTTGATGCATAAAGTTAAAAGATTAAAACGAATAAAACAAGTTTTAAAAAGGGACTTTTCCATTTGATTACATTTTGTATGATGGATTGTAGAAAAAGTAGAATTGGGCTGAAAGATCTATCGCTTTATCACCTATTCAGGTTGTAAATCGTGTTTTAAAAAAGTAACTAAGTAATTAATTACTTTTGAAAATAAGTAATCAGAAAAGTAACAGGATTACTTTTTTGGGGAAGTAATCGGTAATTAGTTACTGATTACTTTTTTCAAGTAACTTGACCAACACTGCTCACTGATAACATCAAGCAGAAGAACTGAAGTTTGGGGATTAGCTGTACATACACCAATCTTATTGTTTGAATCCCTGGTTATGTTTAACAGCAGCTTTCACTACTTTAAAAATGTATATATGAGAGAAAACAAACTGTAATATGTCCAATTTAACAATTAACTCTAACCAAGGTGAAAATCTGCTGCAATGTCTGTTAAAAGTAAGCATCAAACATTTGCACATCACAGTGTCCTTAGGCAAGATATCGAACCTCAAAGTACACCTTGAGGCATCCATCGGTGTGTGAGTGTGTGCATCACAGGCAATAGTGTTTAAAGGCAAAGAATAAAGCCCTGCATTATTGTGTGTGAATGGGGCGAGTAGTAAAAAGTGATTTAGGATTAGAAAAATCCTGTTTAAGTATTTATGCCTTTAAAAAAACGGATCAAAACATTAGACTTTTAACACAAAATGAATCATCAATAACAACTGCTTATTGTTACTAGACCTGATGTATTGTAATATAGTAACAATCTGTATTTCAGTGCTCACTTTCCAACAATTTATGTCAGTGTTTGTATTTCACTTTTTTATTAACAGTTGTCATTGAGTGGAGCTGATCTGAAGCCGCTGTGAGCTCTGCACCAACTTAAAAGTCATAAACAGAAAGATATTTATTAAATCTGCAGGGTGCTCTGTCTATTGGAAGGACTTTTATTTACGGAAAACTGATAAGCTGTAAGTAATCGTGTCCTGCAGCTCCATCATCAAGTAAACTAACACAGGATGTAAAATATGGCTCTTTAACTCTTATTCTCCTCTGTTCATAAGATCCTATATTCCTGTTCCCTGGCAGCAGGTCTGCACTTTATTTTAAGCTTATAGTGTGGCTTCCGCTGTGCCCTGTCAGATCAAATGAGATGAGACACACTCATTGTCAGCGAGCATTTGTTCACTTTTGTAGCTAATTAACCGTATCTTAAGTTCATCCTGGTCCCTGCTGGGCTCTGCTTTTGACAAAGATATAAAGTGAACGAGGAGAGGGTCAGGCATCAGATGTTGTTTCGTTCAAATCAGACCGAGACGCATGCTGTCATGTGATGGACGGTCGTAATAAATTTTTAAGAGCATGGATGATGAAACCGCGAGGCCAGAGCTACTGTAGAGAGGCTTGCCATTGACTTGATTTACGTTTCCCATCCAGTGAAATCAGGAAATCAGTCAAAGCTGACATCTCTGGCATCTGAAGTTTGATTCTGACAAACCTTTGATGGATGATGCATCTTCACAATTTGTCTGTGTCCTGATAAATTAGACTGGATGTTATACTGGGGAGCAACAGGAAGTTTAAGGCAGGTACATCAGCCTTATTTGATTTCGTAGTCTGAGGCTGTGTAGACAAAACGGCACAGCAGGTTCACGGCTCATGTGAGCTTACTCTCTGTTGTTAGGAACTGACACATTTCTTCCAATAGCAGTTAGATTATAATCTATGAAAATGTGAAGGTGTAAATGAAGCACTGTCTGGTATCCATTTATATCTGCTTCTTCCAATAGTTTCCCCATCTGTATTGGAGTTCTGAACAACCAAAGAAAGAGACTGGTTTCACTGGTGTGTCGCTCCACCAACATTTTGTGGCTTCCCT